AAAAGAAAAACAAAAATGATGATAACTGACTTTAAATATTTTTTTAACACCGGCTTTTACTTTGAAAAAAAAATGTTCTTTGGTTTTCTCACATAACCAATATATAGTACAAGATCATGTGACTTCTATAACATTATAGTTCCTATGTGAAATCCGAACTCTGACATCAAGTACAGAACCAGTTCCAATGACACACACTGACCAGTGTTAGAAAAGGCTCTGTACTAGTAAACCCATTGTGTGTATGAATTTAAGTTTTATCTAAAGGTAACTGTTGGATTAATCTAAAATCTTAACTTTAAATAGAATAAATTTAAGTGCTATAAAATATAGTAGTCTTAGAAAATCTAGAAATTAATATTAATTATAAAAAATGTCAAAATGTATGTGTACAGATTAATCAAATGTGAATTAAACATTAATATTTGAAACCAAAATAAACATTTTTATGATTGAGTATCAAATGTTATTATACAGTTGTAACAGGAAGTGGGCCACTTTCTTTAATAACAAAAAAGTAAAACTGTTTATGACACTGACTCAAATACCCAAACATAATGACAACTTTCAACCAAGCAATATCCCCTCCCCAAAATAGTATGATCTGTTAAAGTGGATATCACCTTTCTTAGCCTTTTCTTTAATGAAGGGAAAATATTTGCTCATTCATTAGTTGACCTAATATGATAAAACATATAAATAATTTTACATTTGAATATCTATTATGATAGGTGACATGCCCCGATTAGCAAATATCATTTTCCTAGCTTGCACATTCTAAGCAGAAATAAAACCATCACAACAAATTTTGTACTTTCCTATTTAAAATGTATGGAGATGGTTGTTAAATCTTATAGTGTCAAAGTACAATTATTACCTAATAGAGAAAAGGCATAGGAAGATTAGAATAACTTGCTAGGACTAATAAACAGATACTTTAAAACAAATTCATGAACAAAACATGCAACATTTTTAGTATATGCCCATTGCTTCTTTTTCGTGATATTCATACAACACTTCATTTTTTAAAATCTAATTATCTCATCTGATTATTTAAAAATAGGGATGTGCACTTCAAAGACAATGTTGCACAAAAGTTAAGCCTGAAGA